CACTGGAAGACAGAGCCCTAATAGCAGGGTCACAGATCACCGCCCTCCCCTCCTTCTTCCCCCACTGAAGGCCTATTTACCAGTGCTGACTTTACCCAGTACACATACGGCATTCAACAAAAAGAGCTGCAAGACATGCTAAAAGGATCATAAAATGCTCAAAAGTACGAACGACAGAGAAAGCGTAGAAGACAAAAATAGGAACCAAGAAAAAGGGTGAGACATATTGGGTTGCCGGAAAAGTCAAGACATATTTTTTCTGTTTGTTTATGCAAAAATGTGTCGTGACTTTTCTGATAATCCAATAGAAAACAGTAAAACGGTCCATCAATAATCACTTTGAAAGCCAATGATCTAAATACATCAATCGAAAGGTGGAGCTTGTCAGAGCAGATCATAAAACAAGACCCACCTACATAATGTGTCCAGGACACACACTCTATAAAGACACACCCAGATGAAATACAATAAGACAAAGACATACCATGTTAACACTAATCCAAAAAAAGCAGAAACAGCTACTTTTAAGTTTAAATACATTAATTTCTGACAAAGTAGATTTCAGAGCAAGGGACGTTTTTAGAGATAAAAAGGAACATTACATGGGGGAGGGGGTGTCAATACTCCAAGATGACATAACTGCCTTACTGTGTATGCCTAACGACAAAGTGTCAAAACATTTGAGGCAAAAACTACAAGAGCAGCACAGGGAGCCGCTGTCAGAGCTGAGACTTCAACAGCCCGGACAGAAATGGCCAGTTCTAGCAGACAGAACCAGCTGAACTCAGCACCAGCATCCCAAACTGGATGTGAACACCTGTGGTCCGCTCATCCGACAGCAGAACACCCAGCTTCCTCAAACGCAGTGGAGCATGCACCAACCAGACTATGTCTGGGATGCAAAATACACCTCAGCGAACAAACAAGCAAAATACACCTCAGCGAACAAACAAACAAAATACGCCCTTAACGAATCACACAATGTCTGCTCTTAGATCACAACAGAATTAAGCTAGAAATCAGAAATAGAAAGATAGCCAGGAAATCCCCAAATAATTGGAGAGCAGACAACACACTTTAAAAAAAATAACATATGGATCAAAAAGAAATCTCCAATGAAATTTTTAAAATAGTATGAAAATGATAATTCAACTTATCAATATTTGTGGGATGCAATGAAGGCAGTGATGGCAAGAAAATTTATGGCTCAACTGCACCTATTAGAAAAGATTAAGCATCAACAATTAAAGCTTCTACTTTAGGAAACAAAAGAAAAAAAAACACAAAGAAAAAAGAAACTTAAATACAAAGCAAGCAGAAGAAATAATAAAAATTGGCATAGAAATCAATGAATTTCAAAAGACAAAATCAATAAAGAAAAATCAACAAAACCAAAAACTGACTCTTGGAAAGAATCGATAGGATCAATAAGTTTCTAGCCACGCTCAATGAAAAGAGAGAAGATACAAACTGCACCAGAAATGAAAGCCAGTACATCCCCATAAATCCCATCAACTTAATAGGGTAATAAAGCAATGGTGTAAATAACCCTGCCCACGAATATGACATTCTAGATGAAATGGACCGATTCTCTGAAAGACGATCTGCCAGAACTCACACAGGCCTACCTCTACTCCAGAAACTGAATCAATAACTGGTAACCTTATGAAACAGAAGCACCAGACCCAGGTGTGTTCATGTTTAAGAAAGAAATTATACTAATTCTCTACAATCTCTTCTGGAATAGAGTATGGAATACTTCCTAACTTATTCTACGAGGCAAGCATTACCCTAAAGCCAAAATCAGACACAGACATTTAAAGAAAACTACAGACTAACATCATCTCTCATCAACACATACAAAATCCTCAGTGAAATATGAGTAAATCAAATCCAACAACATATAAAAAGGATTAATTTCAGAACAAGCAAGACTTCTCCAGCTAAGCAAGTCTCATTCAAATGAAAATCAATGAACGTAATCCATTAAATCAATAGGCCTAAGAAAACTCACATGATCATATGAATAGATAACAAAAAAGCGTTTGACAAAACTCAACATCTATTCATTATAGAAACTCAGCAAACTAGAGAGAGAAACTTCAACTTGATTAAAAAGAAGAAAACACTACAGAAAATCCACAGCCAACATCACTTTCCCACAGAACTGAACAAAGTAAAGATAGCTACTCACATTTCCTTTTTTGACACCATACTGGAAGTCCTAAATAATGTAATAAGATTTTTAAAAAGGAAGAAAGAAAGGAATAAAGGATAAAGAGAAATAAAAGGTATATAGATTGGAAAGAAAGAAATTAAACTGTAAGACTGTCTTTTTTCACAAATAACATGATTGTTTCTGTAGAAAACATGAAAGAATCAACAAAAGAAATCCTGAAACTAATAAGTAATGATAGCAAGATTGTAAAATACAAGGTTAATATGCAAAAGTCAATCACCTTCCTACAGATCAGCAATAAACAAGTGGAATTTGAAATGAAAAATACAGTATCATTTACATTAGCATAAATAACTTAAATGCTTAGTATAAATTTAACAAAATATGCATAGATCTATGAGAAAAGCTATAAAATTCTGATAACAGATATCAAAGAAGACCTAAAAACTAAAAAAAATAAAGAGATAGTCCATGTTCATGAATAGGAAGGCTCAATGTGGTTGAGATGTCAGTTTTTCCCAACTTGACCAACAGATTGAATGCAATCCCAATCAAAATTCCAGTGAGTTATTTGGTGGGTTTTGACAAACTGATTGTAAAATTTATATAGAGCAGAAAAATATCCAGAAAAGTCAACATTATCTTGAAAAGGGGCACAGGACTGACACTACCCAACCTCAAGACAATGTAGACTTTCCTGGATATTTATATATAATGCAATGGAGAAAAGAAAGTCTTCAATAAATGATGCTGGAACAAACGAACATCCACATGCAAAGAAAAAACAATGAACCTAGACACAGACCTTAAATGCTTCACAAAAAATAACCAAAAACGGATCACAGATCTAAATACAAAACATAAAAACTAAAATCCTCCTGGAAAGTAACGTCGGAGAAATTCCAGGTGCCCTTGGGTATAGCAGTGACATTTAAAAGACAATATGAAGGCATGGTTCGTGAAAGAAAGAACTGATGAGCTAGACTTCGATCAAATTAAAAACTTCTGCTCTGAGAAAAACACTCAAGAAAATGAAAAGACAGCCACAGACTGGAAGAAAACATTTGAAAATACATACCTGATTAAAAAAAAAAAAAAAAAGAACATTGTTATAGTAAGTACACAAAGAATTGTTAAAACACAAGAAGGAAATGAAAACAAAAATTTAAAAAACCAGGCCAAAGACCTGAGCACCTCACCAGACTAGACATACAGCGCTAAGTAGGCGGGAGAAAAGATGCTCAATGCCACGTCATTATGGACTGCGGATTAAGTCAGAGGGGCCGACTCAGTGTGGCAGCAGTAACATGAGGCACTGCTGAAGCGACTGCTGGGTCCCCGTGCAAGATGATGGGTTTGGTTTCCTGGCTGACCTGCACACACCGGGCACACACGCCCATGATCCCAACTGGCCGAAAAGGCTGGGGGCTTGCCCACTCATCATGGCCATTAAGGGTGCCTGTTTGTCTGTCTGTCTCTCTCTCTCTCATGAAAGAAAGAAAGACATTTTAAAAAACAATCAAACAGGTGCCAGCAGGTGGCGGGGTGGTTGGCACTGTACTCCCACATGGCCAAACACAGTTTGAGTCCCGGATCTGGTAGCTTGAGCTTGCCTTCTCACTTTCTCTCTCTCTGTCCTTCTCTGGCCAAATAGAAAAAAAAAAAAAAAGAAGAGAAAGAAGAGAGGGGGAGGGGGGAAGAAAGAATTCTTAAAAAAAAAAAAATTCAACAATCAAACAAAAACCAACGGTGCAATGTACATACCTACTAGAACGGCCAGACTCCAAAACCACACCGCCCTCTACGCTGGTGAGAGTGTGCAGCAGCGGGGACCCTCATTCATTGCTGGTGCGAATACAAAATGGCACAGCCACTCCGGAGGACAACTGGGCAGTGTTTCGTGGAAGTGGACACAGTGCTACCACACAGTCCGGCAGTCAGGCTCTCGGTATTTACCAACAGTAGTTGGACACATAAACGTCCACACGAGAGCCGTGCACACGGAGCAGCCTATCCCTAAATGCCCACACTGGAAGGCAACCACAACGCCTTTCGGGAGGTGAATGGGTGACTCACCTGTGGCACTTCCAGATCTCAGATATTACTCAGCACTACAAAGAACTGAGCTAGCAAGCCATGAGATGACCTGGAGGACCTTGCGTGCATCTTACTGAGTGACGGAAGGCAACCTGGAAAGGCTGCCACCGTAGGGTGTCCACTGTACAACATCCGGAAAAAGGCCAGACTTGGGGACAGTGCGAGGTCAGTGGTGGCCGGGGTCTGGGAGCTGAGGGTGTTCGGGGCAGTGAAACGCCCTGGTGGACACACGCCCTAACAGACTTGCCAAAACCCGTGGAACGACCAACACTGAGCGTGAGCCCAGTGTAAACTGTGGATTGGGTGTAAAGATGCATCCACGGAGGCGTGTGGGTTAATCAAATGTACCACTCAGCGTGGGATGCAGAGAGAGGGCGTGTTTGTGGGGCAGGGAATACATGGGAACTCTCTGTATCCACCCCCCAATTTTGCTGTGATCTTAAAACAGCTCTTAAAAATAGTCTATTAACTAATACACATCATCACACATTTTCTATTTTATTCTATTTTCTCTTTCAACAAGTTTTGGTCTCCTCCCTCTAAACCTCTCCTGTACCGCCCCCTAACAGGCCTGGCAGAGCTAGCAAGGCTGCACTCGGGGGCAACGTCTCCAGCTGGTTGGCATTTATTCTCTGCCCACGGGCCACTCCAAGGCGCCTGTGGCCCGTTCTCAACGACAGGGGCAAAGCCAGGTGCTTCATGGCCCCGGGCCCTGGTGCAGTACCTGGAGGGAGGGTCTCCACGCTCTGTGCCTTTTCTTCTCCATTGCTGTGAGGAAGGTCTTTCTTTTTAATGGGGTCAATTTCATTCCAGTCCTCCTGGGGGAACAAAGACACCGAATGAGTTGAGTGGCTGTTTCGGCACAGCTTCGCTTGTCTCTTAAAACACACATTGAGCCTCTGTGCCAGGTGGCCGTGGGGGCACAAGGATGACCAAGAGCACGCCACCTTAAGGGCCCAACCCCTCGCCTACCCGGGGCTTGACGCATGGCAGAGATGCACGGGGAGAAAAGTGTGGTGCGGCCTCTGCCCAGGTCTGCACCCTCTTCGCTGCATACGTGCACGGCCCGTCTACGGGAAGAAAGCAGCCTGAAGATCCCCGAGGCTTTGAGGCTCTGCGGGGGCGGGACGCGAGCGAGGGCAGGCACTTGAGAGTAATTTGATAGTGGTTAAATTAAAGCCTTTAAGAAGAGGGGGCGCTCTAGAAATCTTAGATGGTTTATGGACACCGAGACCCAGACTCATCCTGAGGGCCCCTGTGAGCGCCCCTCTGAGGAGCGTAAATATTTAATTCTACTGACTAGCACGGGAGGGGAGGGTGCGCGCTTTTTCTAGGGCTTACTCTAATGGGCCTACCAGTGGGACAGAACAGCAAATTTAGGGTTTAATGTGAAACCGGAATATGATAGAAGCTCTGGCAGAATTTATTCAACTCATCTGGGCAAGCAATTTACTTAATTTACCAACATTAAACCAATCTAAATAACAACTCCATGACCACAGCGTTAAATATATTTTTCCACCACTTGAAGTCTGATTTCTGTGAGTAAAATCAGGAAGATTTCCATACATAACCCAAATCAGAAATAGCTGTAGCCAGGAATTTTCCCAGCAGACACCACTGAGCCGAGTATCGCCAATCGGCCACTTTCCTGGGCAGATGCTATTATGATGGGTGGCAGGAGTCCCCCCGGGGAAGGGGACACATAACCGCTCTCCCCAGGCCCATCTGAGCAGCAGGTCCCTGGTCAGCATGGGCTGCGTGCTGGGCAATCTCTGACCAGAGATATTTTGGCTCCTCTAAAACATGAACTGTGAGCTGCGGGGAGGTGACTCAGGTCTGGGCCAAGTGGCACACTGTCCCTCCCGACTGCAGCTCACTCTGCCAGTAATCTGCATCAGGAGAGAAGGCTGGGTCTAGGCCTCCTTCCTCTGTTTATTTTGCGATGAAGTAACATAGCTCAGTTATCACATCAGGGGTGCCCAGTGATGACTGGGGGGATGCAGACGCACGTGGGCTAGTGCGGGGCATTCTGCACTGAGGTCGGTCCCAGTCCCACCCTCCTGGATGAAGGCCTTTCTGGGATCTTTAAGTGCCGAGTACTTTGAGACAGGGACTCGTATCAAGATCCTCCTGCCTCAGCCTCCCGCTAGCTGGGAACACAGGTACGCGTCACCACCGCATCACCCCAGGATCTCTGGGAGCGCCAGGAACCACACCCGGGCCTCCTACGTGGCCTCAGCCAGCCAAGTAATAAGTGTCTGGCACTCACTAAGCCCTGGGCCTTCTCTAAGTACTTGCAACAAATGTGTCAAAATGCATCTGTATCCCAATTAAATGTTTCTTACTGGGGAAAAAAAGCAACTTTACAAAGCCATTTACATTTGGCTGTGAGATTATCTGGTTACATATAAACCTTCATTCCAAGGCTGGCAGTGGTTTCCCAGCCACCTTGGCAGATCCACAATGTAAGAGCGATACATCCACCATGGGCCATTACAGTGTAAGGGAGAGCGTGTCACCCACCACGGCCACTACAGCGTAAGGGAGAGCATGTCACCCACCATGGCCACTACAGCGTAAAGGAGAGCATGTCACCCATCGCGGCCCCTACAGCGTAAGGGAGAGTGTGTCACCCACCGCGGCCACTACAGCATAAGGAGGAGCGTGTCACCCACCACGGCCACTACAGCGTAAGGGGGAGCGTGTCACCCCCCGCGGCCACTACAGCGTAAGGAGGAGCGCGTCACCCACCCGGCCACTACAGCGTAAGGGAGAGTGCGTCACCCACCGCGACCGCTACAGTGTAAGGGGGAGCGCGTCACCCCCCCGGCCACTACAGCGTAAGGGAGAGTGCGTCACCCACCGCGACCGCTACAGTGTAAGGGGGAGCGCGTCACCCCCCCGGCCACTACAGCGTAAGGGAGAGTGCGTCACCCACCGCGACCGCTACAGTGTAAGGGGGAGCGCGTCACCCCCCCGGCCACTACAGCGTAAGGGAGAGTGCGTCACCCACCGCGACCGCTACAGTGTAAGGGGGAGCGCGTCACCCCCCCGGCCACTACAGCGTAAGGGAGAGTGCGTCACCCACCGCGACCGCTACAGTGTAAGGGGGAGCGCGTCACCCCCCCGGCCACTACAGCGTAAGGGAGAGTGCGTCACCCACCGCGACCGCTACAGTGTAAGGGGGAGCGCGTCACCCCCCCGGCCACTACAGCGTAAGGGAGAGTGCGTCACCCACCGCGACCGCTACAGTGTAAGGGGGAGCGCGTCACCCCCCCGGCCACTACAGCGTAAGGGAGAGTGCGTCACCCACCGCGACCGCTACAGTGTAAGGGGGAGCGCGTCACCCCCCCGGCCACTACAGCGTAAGGGAGAGTGCGTCACCCACCGCGACCGCTACAGTGTAAGGGGGAGCGCGTCACCCCCCCGGCCACTACAGCGTAAGGGAGAGTGCGTCACCCACCGCGACCGCTACAGTGTAAGGGGGAGCGCGTCACCCCCCCGGCCACTACAGCGTAAGGGAGAGTGCGTCACCCACCGCGACCGCTACAGTGTAAGGGGGAGCGCGTCACCCCCCCGGCCACTACAGCGTAAGGGGGAGCGCGTCACCCACCCGGCCACTACAGCGTAAGGGGTACCATGGTCACCCACCACGGCCGCTACAGCATAAGGGAGAGCGTGTCACCCACCGTGGCCACTACAGCGTAAGGGAGAGTGCGTCACCCACCGCGACCGCTACAGTGTAAGGGGGAGCGCGTCACCCACCGCGGCCACTACAGCATAAGGGAGAGCGTGTCACCCACCGTGGCCACTACAGCGTAAGGGAGAGTGCGTCACCCACCGCGACCGCTACAGTGTAAGGGGGAGCGCGTCACCCACCGCGGCCACTACAGCATAAGGGAGAGCGTGTCACCCACCGTGGCCACTACAGCGTAAGGGAGAGTGCGTCACCCACCGCGACCGCTACAGTGTAAGGGGGAGCGCGTCACCCACCGCGGCCACTACAGCATAAGGGAGAGCGTGTCACCCACCCGGCCACTATAGCGTAAGGGAGAGTGTGTCACCCACCGCGACCGCGACAGTGTAGGGGGGAGCGTGTCACCCACCGTGACTGCTACAGCGTAAGGGAGAGCGTGTCACCCACTGTGGCCACTACAGCGTAAGGAGGAGCGCGGCACCCACCGCGGCCGCCACAGGCTAAGGGAGA